TTTTAAAATTTTGTGCAAGATTTTATTTTTATTAATTTATACTGAAAATAAAGTATAGCTGCCTAAGAGTTCATAGAATTTCCCTGACCCTACATATAAAATCTACTTGGGGGCGGGGGGCGTGCAGGCACTTAGTAATAAAGTTATTAAGCTGCTTATTTCTGTGAAAATAACAGCCTGTGAGCATTGTACATTAACTATGTAGAAGTGGTAGGTGATGTTTTCAGTGTTTCAGGTATTTAGTGCTATAAGTCATAAAATGAATAAAAATTTCAGGTATGAAAATGAGTAGCTTTAATTTATAAATGTCATAAAAATGAATCAGTCTAAATGTTCATAGACCAACAAAATTAGGTTATTGTACACTTGAGAATTTAGCTTTGTAGGCTAGACTGTGCTATTTCAGTTTCTAGAACATGAACTTCTTTGTTTTATGGCACTAATTAAGATTATTAACTAAAATATTTTAGAACAAAACATTTTGTGATTGGGGCTACTGAATATAAGTATATTGTAATCCTTTTGTATTACATCTTCATGTCTGTCTAGAAAGAGAACACAAATAACGCTTCCTGTCCACAGGTTATTAGCGCATCAGTTTGATCTGCACATCTGAGAAGTCTCACCGAAAGATGAGCCCACTGATGCCAACGGCACATCTTTTAATTAAAGGCAGTGATGTTTATTAACTTGCTGGTTTGTTCATTTAGAAGTCATTTGTTAGCCTACCCCAAGCCTATGCTGAGATCAGGCTCCCCACTAGGCTGTTCTTATCTAAGTCTTTCCCTGCTCCTTTTCCTAGAAGATTCTTAATGCCACTGTTCTGAGGCTTCTGGAGAGCAATATATGATATTGTAGCTCTGCATTTACAAAGTTCCTACATTTATAATTTTGATGATGAACTTGTATCATTAAATGTTGCCATCTGTGATCTAGTATAACAGTCTTAGAAGATGAGCAGAAATGTTCCAAGTATGTGCACCTAATAAATATGTGAGGTGTTTATTTCCCAGTAAATGCAGGTATCAAGATGAACTCTAGTGTCAAATAATTTGTCAGTAACTGCCCTGTACTGTATGGAATCTCTGCAACAGACCCAGCTCCACTTCTAAAGGGTGCCATCTAATGGCTGGCCTTGAGCAGCTTGACAGAAGTGTTATTTCCTATTTTAATTCACAGCTACATCTGCTGGTCAAAAAGAGAACATGTTATAAATGCTTAAGTCAGAACTATTCAATTTCTTAAAACTGTTTTTACTTTGGTCTTTCTTTAACCACAGTTAGCATGAAATTTTATTTTGAAAGAGTACATGTAATACATTAACAGAAAACTACATTCATATTTTATACAGTGGTTTATTTATTCAAAGTTGCAAAGGAGAGCTATTGGAATCTGCCTCATTAGCTGAGCAGAGCACTAGTTTTCCCCAGGATCAACAGTGGGATCCTCACTGTCTGTAGCAATCAGCACGGTCTTTGGGCAGCAGGTACAGCTTGCTTCTACTTTATGGGTTCATTGATTGTTTTGAATTATGATTATCATTTAAATATGTTTAAGGTAGCATTAGTTATCTGAGTTGCTGCAATGGTACTGACTGATTCTAATTCTAAAAATAATTCACACATTGGTTAAGAGCAGTGACTTTTTAATTTTCTTACCTTATATTACTTATTGAATTATTTACTATTATTGGTGAAGGGATTTCTGGAGGAATTGAGCTTGTTTATGGCTGTCTTGTCTCTTTTTCTTCTTACAAGGAGAAATGTGAGCTACCTCAGTATTTATTGATTGATGTAACAGAACTTCATGGAAGGGAGTATGTTCTCTGCCCCTGGCACTGTGCACTGCGTTCATCCCTGAGGGGGCCCATCTCAGAGGCCTGGCTGAGTCACCACTGCTTCTCTTCACTGTGGCATGTACAGCATGTTATTGCCTGCGGCAGTTTATACCTAAGTACTGCTTTTGACCTTGTAGGAACTGGGACCTCATTCGTTATTCAGAAAAACCATGAATGCAACTGTTTATAGTCATTCTAAAAAATTAAAATTTAAAATTAATGTGTAAATGAAGTTTTTTTATTTTTTCACCATGGGCTAAGAGGTATTTGTCTATAGTTACATAGCAGTTGGCTTAATACCACTGTAACAATACCTGAGATATCTGATATCCAAAGGACAAGATTACTTAGCTTATGGTTTTAGAGATCTCAGTTCAT